AAGCTTGGCATTGCAGTTAGAGTGCGTGCCCATGCGCGCCCAAGCTTGGCATTGCAGTTAGAGTGCGCGCCCATGCGCGCCCAAGCTTGGCATAGAAGTTAGAGTGAGCTCCCATGCGCTCCCAAGCCCGATATCGCTGTTAGAGCGCACGCCCGTATGCGCCCATGCCAGATATAGTTACCTGAGCGCACGCCCTTGCGCTGGATATGTGTGCGCCCAGGCTAGATGCTGTCGTTTGAGTGCGTGCCCTTGTGCGCCCGAGCATAGGATTGCTAGCTGAGATGATTTGCCATCACGCTCCCGTTGATTTATTTCTTTGCCGATCAGCAACACCTCATACACATGATATCTTCCCTCGCACTGGGAGCATTCGCAGTTCAGTCCCTGCATAGATGACCCGGCTCAGTCTAGCCCCAGTACATTCAGCATTTGTGACTGGTCCCTGTGCATGAGATGTTCTACTGATCAGTTGCTGTTCAGTCGGGCCCTTCAGGCGGGCCTATTTGAGATTGTTGCTGTTCAGGCGGGCCTTTCAGGCGGGCCTGTTTGAGATTGTTGCTGTTCAGCCGGGCCCTTTAGGCAGGCCTACTTGAGATTATTTATGTTCAGCCGGGCCCCTTCAGGCGGGCCCACCTCTCGAGATTGTTGCAGTTTTCAGCCCGGTCCCTTCAGGCGGGCCCTTTCTTCTGAGATAGCTGATGTTCAGCCGAGCCCATTCACGCGGGCTTTATATTGAGTTGCTGTTCAGCCGGACCCATTCAGGCGGGCCCTATATCGAGTTGCAGTTCAGTCAGGCCATTCAGACAGGCCCCCACATTGAGTTGCTGATTGTTATCTGGCCAAGTCTTGGAGGGAGTATTTGCATTAGTGAGAGTGCAACTTCTGTCCAAGCTGGCCCGTCACCGTGAGACTGCCCCTAAGTGGGGTAGATTGATTGAGAGGTTCTGCTATAGACATGTGGGACATCAGAGTTTCACTATCAGGGCTAATGGGTCCTCGACCTCGCGACACACGCTCGTCATCACCTACTCGGTGAAGGGGGCAGAGACGGGAGTGAAGGGTGCCACGTACGACAGGATTCCTGATTACATATTTCGCAGGGAGAGCTATTGGAGGGACAACTGGCTACATGTGGTGTTCCCTCGCGTACCTTCAGCACCTGAGGGCGTGCTCTTCGATTTTGATGGGTGTAACCCCATGCCCCTTAGTGAGTCTCGCAGTAAGGACAAGAGGCGGAAGGACGACCGGATTATGCGAGAGAGAGCCAGATCCGGGGTCCCAATCACTACATGCGTCCAGAGACCAGAGACGGATGAGTCGGACTTGGAGCCCTGCTCTGTGAGTGACATTGATCTTGGCGATTATTTCGACTGGGACACTCACAGGGGTTGAGTTTGTGGACAGCGACAGGAGCGCTGGAGACCAACGAGCGAAAACGTCGGAAGGCGACATTGAGGAGGATCGCACATCTTCTTGCGCGGTATCTTCTTGAGGGTGATTGACTCCTACATGTCAGACGACCCTAGGTCTGAGACAGTTATTGGTCCCCCAAGAGGGGAGGGTCCGGTCCCATACCTCGGAGATGGCTATAGTCATTTGGTCGGGACAGACTTTGCTATGTAGGCTTATCGAAAGCCTCTTTACGAAGATCGTTTCCTCGAGGTATCCTACATCTACTCTGGTGGGAGAGGGCGAATTGAGATATTGATTGGAGCTAGAGGCGATATCATTCTTGCAGAGGAGCTTTATCTCAAGAGCGTCGCAGACGAGGAGATGGCTAGATGCATGGCCTATATCTGCAAGATTGATCCAGTCGCGCCTCTCGATATCAGCTATGTGGTTCCAGAGTCTATAGCCACGCGAGTTCTCAATGACGAGGCGCCAGATATGGAGTCCCAGACGACAACACTTACTCACGAGGGGGTACCGCTCATTATCATTGATTGAGGTTCTCTCTTTCGGTCACTATGATGTATTACGGCATGATTATTTATTAGTGACTGCAGCCCTCCGATGGCTGCTCCCTGCATGCACTGTGTACTACTCTTCAGTCTCGTTTCTCTGGTCATGCTCTTGCAGAGTCTGGTTTCTGGTCTTCTCATTTTGTCAGTATCAATTAGTCTATGATGCATGTTTGTTATTTTCCTCCTTATTTTATACAGGTTACACTCAAGGTAGCTTGAAGGACTCCTGAATGATAGGGATTCCAGTGACCTTGGGTCTATCCTTTATACGGGGTCAGGTGCAGGCGATAAACCTGAACGCCTCACTCTAAGTCGTGTCGCCGCTGGCAGGAGGGATAACCCTGACTACTCGGCTGTATGACTAAGTGTGACTGCCTCTGAATACACCTCTATTTTCTATACCTATCAAAATCCTGCGTGACAGTCTGCCAGTCCTCCAACCCACTTAGCTCGGTCCGGGGAAGGACATCTAACCGGACCCTTGGAGCAGTGGGGGCGCAACAAAAATGGCGTCGTTGCCGGGGACTCAAAAACTTCGAGTTCATGGGAGCGGACCTTGGTCACAATACTCTGTGACAAGGCAGCAGTCTAGCATATATCGTACAAGATCTGGCTCAGGTCAGAAAGACTTTCGGCTAGAGGAGACCCGAGAGGAGGGGCTTCTTGCAGAAGTCTATCTGAAGTGATTCAGACCTGCAAGCAAGGGTTTGAAATTTGTTTTATTGACCCTTCGCTTGAGAAGTCTATAAGTCAGAAACCAGATGATGATTGAAGAAGCCCTAACTCGTGTCACCTGCGGTGGTGCTTTCCCTTATATGTTTGTCAAATGCATTACTTGTGTGAAAAGTACAACGACTGTGCATGTGTTTGTCTCTAGATTCCTTGACACTGATGATTATGATGTTCGACCCTACATCCTAGAAGGGACTGATCGGGATCCGAGTTTCTTTACCAACTGGGTTGTCATAGTGGAATGTGTCAAAGCCGAGAGGGATCAGTTGACACAGCAAGGGATAGAAGCGAGTTGGAGCTTACTGCCTAGGATTTATGAGAGGATTCCTACCCCGCCAGTACCTAAAGTATTCTGTGATGGTAGGAACTGGCAGCCAATCATCAATGCAGCACTGAGAAGGCAAACCTGGTAAGTAGTCAATGTCAGCAGTAACGAAAGCGATAGAGGCACTGATTAGGATCACGGCTGGGGGTGCCTTCCCGTATGTCATTGAGAGGTGTGTGACTTGTGAACACGACTCAGTGATCTTGTACGTCCTTGTAGCTCGGTTTCTTGATACGGATGACTATGATGTGAGGCCATACGTATCTGCTGAGACAAGGAGAGGGATCGATTATGAGGCGTGTTGGATAGCTATTGCTGAGTATGTCCTCGATGAAAGGCTGTTGCTGAGACAACGAGGAAAGAAGGTGACTTGGAGTGTCCTGCCTAGAGAGTTTGAGAGATTCCCAAGTCCACCTGTGCCCGCTAGCTTTGCGACGAGAAGGACTGGGGACCAATCCTCAACGCGGTACTTAGGGACCGAGTGTGGTGAGCCATGCCAAGAGATGTCTACATTCTTGATGACGGAGAGAGCTTCTGCTTCGAGGTCTATTTAGATGAGCAACGAGCGACTGTCATCGGGGTCGTGAGAGGATGCGACACTAGACTGGGTAGGCATGACGAGATTGGCATGGTAGAACACTACATTGAGCTTATGTGGGCGGCTTCTTTTAGAGCAATTACGGATCAGACTAAGATTAGGCATTTGCTGGATTGCAAGAGTTCGGATGGCAGGAGAGTGATGCTACATGCGAGAGATGAGACCATCCTATCTAGACAACGTCCTGCGGACAGTCTGGCTAGAGGCGCTAGAAGCGGCCCAAGGCAATGATACTGGAATGTGAGAACTCTATGTCAAATGAGACTGTGACCATTAGTAGAGGATAGTTAGATAAAGTGACTGAGACTGACAGTCCGTTCGAGATATTGAGACACGACATCTGTAAGGAAGGGCGTTTAGTATTCTATGTTCCAGTGGTCAGATTTCTCAAGACCAATGAGCTTGACGTGAGGGTTTATGCTCGGGAAGGAATAAAGGAAGAAGAAGGCTATTTAGAGTGTCTGAGGAGAGTGTATATTCATCTCTCAAGGATAAGGAAGCTACTTCGAAGCTTGCATGAGAAAGTGACTTGGGGAAAACGAGTCAGGCAATTTGAAAGACTCCCTAGTTTTCTGACTACGGATAGCTTCGCTGGCAGGAGAGACTGGGCGCCTCTTCTAGAAGCTATTGTCGTGGTTGGTAAGGCAAGAGTAATTAGTGACTTAATACCGATTGTGTTTGATAGGTTTCCCGAGCCCCGTCTGCCAGAAAGCTTTACTGACGGTAGAAACGGGGGACCAATTTTAAACGCAATCCAAAGAGAGAAAAGGCTTAGGAAGAATTAGGAGCTTGACTAGTAAGCCAGGCAAGATGGTCAGGGGACCGGACGCACGGCAGAACCATGCTAGTTCCTCCGCAGGGGACGGAGAAGTGACCACTACCGTTGTTTTACAAGAAATGTTGAACAGGATAGAGGTCATGAAGATCGGAATGGACACTATGAATGTCCGGTTAGATCTTCCGAGAGCCAAGGTACCTCCGGAGAACATACCCTGCTTTGATGGAACCAAGGTTAGGGAGTTCCTGAAAGATTATGATGTCTTTGGTATGAGCCACGGTTGGTCTGACAAACAAAAGTTGAAAGCTTTGCTAGCCTATGTTGAGCCTAAGATGAGGGTGTCAGTGACAAAAGCGACACAAGGGTTGACAACATGGGTCGAGGTTAGGCAAAAGATGCTGGAAGAATACGCGAAGTATGACGTCCCAACGACCATGCAAAATTTGTTGGAAGTGCGACGTTCTAAGTATGCAACCCTCGATCAATTTCTAGAAGATTTTGAGCGGGTTGCGCGGAGAGTACCCTTCTTAGATGAGGCCCAGAAGTGTCATGTCCTGCTAACTAATTTTGCAGAGGATGAAAGAAAGAGTGTGGTAAGTCGAGCTGCCCATTACCCTCTGAAATAGGATGAAGTAGTTGAGATGGTCCGAGAGCTACCTTCGGTGTCAAACCGGAAATCGTCTCTTGAATAGATGAAAGCAATAACTAAAGCGAGAGAAGGAAATATTGAAGCAGTTACAAGAGGAAACTTGAAGGCGGAGGAGATCCTTGGTCTCCTCGTTAAGCTTGGTAGCTTCGAAAAGTTAACCCTTCCTGCCCCAGCAACTCAAGCACTTGTTAGAGCCGAAGAAGGTAAGAAAGAAAGAAAGAAGGAGAAGCAAAAGGAAGAGAGTGAAAATGGGAACGAGAGTAGTGATGAGGAAGACGCTAGGCGAAGGAGAAAAGAGAGACAAAAGAAGAAGCGCGATCGGGATTGGAAAAAAGATAATAAGAGTCGAGATTGGCAAAAGAGAGATGGCCCCTTCCGATGTTATTATTGTGACGAGGAAGGCCATACTCTAGCCCGGTGTCCGACACCAGAAAAGGAACTCGAAGAAGGGATTGTCAAGAAAAACGCCAATGGGCACATCTGTGATGCCAATTGGAACAGGGTTGACTTCCGAATCAAAGGTGAGATGCGAGCCGTAATCCTAGAAAAGGCTAAGGCCAACAAGGATAAAAAGAAGAAGGCTAGGGTTAATGTTATCACCTTTGATGGTATGCTACCTTCGGAGATAGTGGCTCGATACGACAATCCTGAAAGTCAAAATCTAAATGTATCCTATATCAGCCAAAAGCAGGTCGAAGAGAAAAAGCGGGAGAAGGCTCAGCTGATCGATGGGACCAAGGACTTAGTGAAGGAAGGAAAAGGAAAGGAAGCTGTCGGAAAAAAGAAAGAGGTGGTCTTGAGATCCGAGGCCGAAGAAGGGATCTCGATAGATGAACTAGTAAAGAAATTACTCGAGGAGACCGAGATCACCTTATCTTGGAAAGAGGCAGTAGCCTTGGTACCCAAGTTTAGGGAAGAGCTTAAGACGATGGTTGAGAGGCGGAAGGTAGAGATCAATAGCCTAAGACTCTTCCCTCAGCACGTGGAAAGAGCCCCGCCTGGTACCAAGATGAGGTTTGGCAACATGTCGTGCGGATATTTGAATATCTCCGTAAACGACGTGAAAGTCAGAGCTCTAGTGGACTCTGCGGCCGAGATGGTGCTTATGTCCTCGACTGGGTTCCTGTCTTTGGAAGGTTTCATTGATGATTTGCCAATTCGGATTAGAACTTTACGGGCCGAGATCCTCTGTTTTGTGGTTCCCAACTTGGATCATGACTGCATTCTCGGAGCCCCTTTCCAACATCGAATGGAGGCTTGTGCGTTCTTTGGCCATGATGGGGCGGCCTGGCTTTCTCTTCAGGATCCTAACAATGGTCAAAAACAGGCTTTTGAGATAAGTGATAGGCATCATCCTCGTCATCAGCGACATGTTAACTCTCTTAAGCATGGAGAATCTGACAAACTGATTGAGGAAGTACGGGCAAAACTGAAAGAAAGTGGAATAATAGACAAGAAGACAACGATTAGAGTAAATGATATTGGGAAGATGCTCAAGCTTCTGGATAAAGAAAAGGAGTTGGGCGATAAGAGAGAGATGGAAGGATTCAAGGATGATGTGAGGGCAGCCAAAACTGGCACGATGCAGCTCACCTTCTCTGCATCTGGTCTTTTTTTAAGAAAATAGCCACCGGATCTAAGAGGAAGTATAAGCGCAAGGGCGTTAAGAAGAATTCGGTGGCAGTTTTGATAGAGAAAGATTACAATGAGGCATTAGAGAAGGAGAGAAAGATAATTAAAAAAATAAGAGAGGCTGCATTAAAAGGATGGAGAATTACCCCACAGAGGTTCAAGATAATGAAGGTAGGAGTTGATGACTTCCTTCTGCCGGCAGAGAGGGATTTCATATATGAATTATGTCAGAAGTACAGTGGTGCCTTTTCCTTTAATGATGAGGAGAGGGGACGACTTGACGTTGACATGATCAAGATGGTCAAGATCTGGACCGTTCCTCACACGCCTTGGAATGATAGACCCACAAAATATGCTCAAAAGGAAGAAAAAAAGGTAATGGAGTACATAAACCAGAAGATCGCCTCCAACGTTGCGGAACCAGCTGATGCAGCCTACGCCAATCACTGGTTTTGCTTTTGGAAGCCATGTGGTGGCCTGCGCTGGATACAGAACTTGCAAAAGTTGAATTCGGTAACGGTTCGCGATGCGGGTAGCTTACCCAACGCGGATCTATTGGCCGAGTCTTTTGCCGGAAAGAGCATCTACTCCCTAATAGTTGTACTCAGGCTATGACCAATCCCCGATAGATCCTACTAGTCGACCTATGACCGTCATGCATACACCTAGAGGCCTCATACAAATGTGTGTGGTGCCTCAATGGTGGACGAATGGGGTCGCGGTCGTCCAGCGAGATATGCTGAAGGTCATGGAGGACATATGCCCAGAGATTACTTTTCCATACATTGACGACAATCCAGTTAAATGACCAAAGGAAAAGGATGAGACTTTAGTGGATGGTCGAGTCAGGCAGTTCGTATGGGAACATGCGCAGGGAGTAGCGAAAGTACTAGAAAGGCTGGCTAAGTACAACCTAACAGCCAGCGGGCCGAAATCACTACTGTTCCAAAGGGAGGTAACGATCTTGGGTTTTAGGTGCTTCTTGGAAGGAAGAAGTCCTGATCCGAAGAAAGTGGATAAACTCCTGAACTGGCCTATGCCTCTAAAAACGGTTGGGGAAGTAAGGAGCTTCCTAGGGGTCTGTAGCTTCTGGCGGATCTTCATCCCCGGGTTTGCCAAGATAGCCGAGCCCCTTAGAGAAATAGTGCGACAAGGAGCTAGCTTAGAGTGGTCTGACCAAAGAGAGAAGGCTGCGCGGGTACTTCAAGATAAGCTAAGAGATGGCAGGGTTGTATTAGGAGTACCCTACTTCGACGATGAAAAGGAGAGGCCTTTTATCATCGAAGCCGACGGCGGCCCGATAGCATTAGGAGGAGTGCTCTTGCAGCAATATGAGAATGGTAAAGAAAGGCCACTTAGATTTGAGAGTCGCACCCTTAATTCGGTAGAGAGAGGCTATATTCAGTTCAGGAAGGAGCTTATGGCAATCCTGCACTGTCTCAGGGTGTTTAGACACTATGTTATGGGGCGAAAATTCATCCTAAGAACGGATTCCACGACGGTAATCGGAGTTGTTAAGAGGCATCAACAAGTAGATGCTACAGTTAGTAGGTGGATAGCACACATATGGACGTATGATTTTGTGTTGGAAAAGGTACCTACTGAAAAGAATCGAGCCGATGGGCTGAGCCGCGTAGAATGGGGATCAATAGATGATGAATCTCTTGAGGAGGCACCCTTCGTTGACGAATTCCTTATGGAAGACGATGACGAAGGACTACCTCCAGCTCCTATGGAAGACTGCTGGGGAGAAAAGGATGACCCTTACCTCCATTACCTTCTAACTCGAGAGGATGAGGAGAAAGGATGGTATGGGATGGTAGAACAAGCTGCTGTTGCAACTCATGAGCTGGCAGAGAGTTCAATGATGCCTGAACGAAGGCTGAATGAGATAGAGGAAGAGCCGGAAAACCCTGAGCAAGATAAGGACGCTGAGGAGAGATTTAAGAAGAATGAGTATGATGGGGAATATAAGAGGATCGGTATGGTAATGAGCAGTAATCAGTTGGATGAATTCTACCATGAGAAGACAAAGAGAACCTTTAGGCTACGTAGGGGTCACCTTTTTGTGGATGCCAAGGAAGGACTACCTCCACTGAGAGTCGTGTGTAGTAAGGAAAGGCAACTAAAGGTGATCGCCGCACTGCATGAGGGTCTAGCAGGGGGTCATAGGGGTGCTGATGCTACATACTATAAAGTATCTCGACTATATCACTGGGATGGTCAGGGATATGGTTATGAGATATTGTAAGTCATGTGAAGCCTGTCAGAAAAGGTCATCTATGAGATTGATTGAACCCTTATACCCCACTGTTCTTGTTGAACCTGGCATTACTGTTCACCTTGATCTAATTACTATGCCACCTGGTAAGGATGCAATTAAATATGTACTAAACATGAGAGATAACATGTCTGGTTATGTTGAAGTAAAAACCATTCGTAAGAAAACTGCACAGATAGTGGCACATTGGATCGAGGAAATCTACTTGAGGTACCCCTTCGTACGAGAGTTTGTGGCTGACCAGGGATCAGAGTTCAAGAACGAGATGGTCAGAAGGCTAATGTTCAGACTTGGAGTCAGGATCAGATTTGTGACACCATATTATTCTCAAGCTAATGCACCAGTGGAAAGAGGTCACAGGACACTAAAGGATGCTATATCAAAATAGTGCCAAGGCGACTCCAGGAACTGACCATCTTTCTTAAGGGCGGCAGTCTATGCTGACAATGTGATTGTCAAACGGACTACAGGTTATGCGCCCATTACACTCTGGTATGGCAGATATGTTACTTCTCCTATTGAGAACCTGGTTGAGACCTGGACCCATGAGGCATACAGAGAGTCGTACTCCACAGAGAAGTTACTGAGGCTGAGGATCAGGCAAATCAAGGAAGTGGATGAAGCCATAATTGAGGCCACAAAGAGGATGTCAGACAACAGATTATCTGATCAGACACGGTGGAACAGCAAGAGGTACATCAGGAAGGAACGACTTCAGGTCGGAGATATTGTACTTATACATGATACATCTCTCGAGACACAGTGGACCAAGAGATTGGAGGCCAGGTGGATGGGACCATTCAGATCATCAATGAGGTTGAAAGCAAGGCCTATGAGTTAGCAGAGATGGATGGTACGAGATCCCATGGTATAGTATCCGGCTCCCGGCTCCGAAAATTCATACTTAGAGATGCAGATTTGATTCCGAGTTCGGGCAGAGAGATGAGGTGAGGCCCGAGAGCCGTCTAGCATCAGCCTAGACATGCTGAGACGTGGCCAGTGTGCCCTCAGCATTTGTTGGGACGTGGTGAGAGTGCCGCCAACTTCAGATGATTATTGGCTGGGATGTGGCCAGTGAGCCGCCATCTATCGACGATTATGAGCTGGGATGTTGACATTGTTGCCGCCAGCTACAGATGATGATTATTTGCTGGGATGTGGCCAGTGAGCCACCAGCTGTCGATGATTATAAGCTAGGATGTGGACAGTGTTGCCGCCAGCTACAGATGATGATTATTTGCTGGGATGTGGCCAGTGAGCCGCCAGCTATCGATGATTATGAGTTGGGATG